GATAAATGAATTAAGAACTTCTAAAATCTAGAAGGTTCAATAAATCAAGCTATGATAAAAGAATTTCTAATGTTTCGAAGAGTCCGTTGATCAAACTCTGATAAAAGAAATTCTAGGGTATAAAATGTTCTGAGAGATCGAGTATTGATAACGAACTTCAAACATACAGAAGGGTCTAATAGATCAAGCTATGATAATGAACCTATATGATGATTAGATGGTTTTAATGAAGAAATAATGTCTGATAAAGAAAACTTTGATAAACCGCTTCCATTTGCTTTAAATCAGAATTTCAGAAAAAGAAAGTAATGCTCAGAAAACCATACTTTCTGATAAAGTCTTAAGTTTTAGAGACATAGGGGAGATTGTTTGACTCAAGGGGGGTATTTTTAAACAATGCTCAGAAATCCCAATATGCTAAAACTATAAGTCTTAGACTCAGGGGGAGCTCACGCTAATCAGAGGAAGTTTTCTTCTTAACTCTGAATTCGATTATGATATTACTATGTAAAATTATTACATCAAAATACATGGTTTTGTCATCATCAAAAAGGGGGAAATTGTTAGAACAAGATTTAGACATGTGTTTAAATCTCCATGTTTGATGATAACAACATATATTTTATATGCAAACAATTTTAGTTCTAATAAGTTTCTTGAGTGTGCCGATAAGAAATTCTAATTGATTCAGGACTGCTGTTTGAAGAATCAGAAATACGCCAAACACATCAAAAAGACTATTCACATCCACTTTTAAAAAAACACCAGTAGTTTGGAAGAATGCTAAATTTTTGTTAGAAAGAGGATCACATGTGTACTTCTCAACAAGTTGCTGCTTCAGAAGTCATAAGTCACAAGAAGAAAGAATTTATGAGAAGATGCTGCTTTGAGATCGGAAAATAGATTGTATAAGAAACAAGCTACGCAAAGATCAAAAGTCAAGATTTGCTCATCAGAAAAGTTGATGCTTATATTTCTGAAGACAAAGTTAATATTCTGAACACATAAAGAGAAAGCTTCTACTTCTGGATCAGAAGTCAATACTTGTTCATCAGAAGAGTTACTGCTCATATTTTTGAAGACAAAGTTAAGTTTCTGAAGACTTAGATAGTTTATGGAATACGTGCATATCCTCTCAACATCATAAGCATTCCATCAGAAGGAAGGATCATAGAAAAATATATCTTCTGAACTCACTTATCAACATCATATAGTCCATTGGAATACAAGATCAAATGATGATATCTTCTCAAGTCAATCTACTCACCAGAAGAACTATTATGACCGTTTCTAAAGAAACATCAGCAATACTAAGGAATGCTGAATATTCATCAGAAAGGGAATCAAGTGTGTTCTTAAAAAAACGCCTATTTCAGATCATAAATTACATATGCTTTCAGAGAGAAAGAATTCATGATAAAAAACTAAGATGTAGCTGACACAAGCCGTTGCTTCTAGCTCAATTCAAAGATCATAATTCAAGAGATCAGAAAGAAAGATTTCAACATCAAAATCAGATGTACTGATATAAGCTTTTGCTTCAGAAATCAGACATCAGATATGCAGCTCAGAAAAGCTATCACAAGAATCAAGGATCAATTTAAGATATATAGATCAGAAAAGCTTTCGCTCAGAAACAAGACATTGTTCATCAGATAAGTTGTTGTTTATATATCTGAAGACAATATTCAACTATCTGAAAGACTTTGACTCTACAACAATGAAGCATCTTCTATATCATTCTTCATCATCATATCAATATCAATCCAACAAAGAGAAAAGAGACAAAGATAAGAAAGAGATATCTTCCAAGCTTACTACTTCAAGCCAGAAGTAAAACATCAGAAGATAAGGTCCTAAGAAACTTATCTACGAAGAATATAGTACAATCAATATGCTTCAAATTCCACTGCGTGCTTACGTATTGTACTATTTTGTCTCCCACGATGAAATGCTACCGTTACTGTAACTGGCAAGTGAAAACACCATTTTCGTACTACCAACGATTTATTTTTCAAGTCTATATAAAGAGACCTCATCAACATTTGAAGAAAAATGAACTACACAACATTATCAAGCTTGAATCAAATTGCTGAAATACTGAAAACATCAAGAGAAAAGAAAAATCACTATTCAAATATTCATCCACAAATATTCTTATAGAGAAATATCAAGAACACAAGAGTTGTTGCTCGTTATTGTGTTAAGATATTAGGGATTAAACACAAAGAATTTTTGCTCATTATTTGTGTTTATCTTAGAGTTCTCAATATAAGGAGTTGTTACTCATTATTTGTATTAGAGACTTTGCTTTTCATTATTGTGTTAATCTGCTTTTTAGAAGCAAACATTGTAAATACAGTTGATTGTAATTATGTATAGAATTGATTATTGTCTCAAGTGACTAGGTTGTTAGTCTGTAGACTTAAGAGGGCTAAGGTGTCAGTTTGGACTTTTAGACTGTTGTTGTTAGTCACCGGCAGGTAGTCCGTACATTTTTAATCAGTTTGATTATAATGGATTAAGTCCTTGTTGAAGGCAAAATCACCTTGGTGGGTGAACAAGAGTAGCCTTGTTGAAGGTGAACATGTATAAATCAAAAGAGTCATTTTATTCTTCCCTTAGTTTTAATCTTTCCAGTTAGTTTGTGAAATATTTTTAAAAGTTAAAGCTAGTTAGAAAACCCAATTTAACCCCCATTTTCTGGTGTTTTTTTCTCACACTTCAATTGGTATTAGAGCATGATCATGGGTTCAAATCCCCCCGACTGACACTGGGGGGGGGGGGGGGGGGGGGGGGGAGATTGTTGGATTATTTAATCCAGCGTTAACCTTAGGGATTGTAAGAGCTTAATATCCCACCCATGACGCTTAGCATGGGCTAGGCGCAACCCTTGAAAAGCTCATACTATATGGAAATAAAGTTGCACCTTCACTAACAGCAATTGCTTTTAGCGCAATGGTAAGCGCTTGATCCAGTTAAAGAATACAATGATAAGTTCAATAATCTCCACGAGATATAATGATTATTGTATTCTTTAACTGGATCAAGCGTTTACCACTGTGCTAAAAGAAATTGCTGTTAGTGAATACACAACTTTATTTCCATATAGTATGAGCTTTTCAGGGGGCTGCGCCTAGCCCATACTAAGCGCCATGAGTGAGATGTTAAGCCCTTCAAATCCCTAAGGTTGACGTTGGAATAAATAATTCAGTCAAACATCAGTCCAGATTCTGAGCACATCCAAATCTTGTTCTAACAATTATTACATTTTTGTTTTAAAACTATAAATATCAACAACTTATTTACATTAATATATAATTATAAATAAATGTTGCCTTTAGAAATTGAACTTTGAATCACATATTACATAAATTTAACTCAACTAACACATACCAATTGAACTAACCCATTTGATCACACATTATTATAAATATATTTATAGTAAAAGTCAAATACATCTAATAATTTAATTGTTATAATTGTCATACATGTTACAGATCCTTTATATTTGTTATGTATTATATTCAATTTCATTTTTAAATGTATAGTTTAAATCACATCTGTTAATCAATCTATTAATTGTTTATTTTTATGGATAAATTAGATGAATTAATACATTGATAGATGGACCCAAGAGCACTTGGATGAAATGGATGGGGTCTTTTCTAGCTTAACCAGAGGCACTGAGTTTGAATTCAGTCTTGAAAACGCAGCAATACTAAATCTCTTAGGGTGAATTTGCCACATATTATGGTCCTATAAGGCTCGAGGGATTAGTATCTGCAGTTGCACGCAAATGATACTTGATTTATACCTAAAAAGTTTAATTGAGCAAACAAATACTAATTAAAATTAGACAAGACCACAACCAAAATTTTCATCTTTCCGACTTCAAAATGACTCTCAAATTAATCTATGCTATCATTATGATTCTTAATGGAAATGAACAAATGAAACAAAAATCAAATTCATACTAGTTCGAGGAGTATATCACCCGACCCATTCTTGCATCAAAATCAACATTTTCAAATTAAAATAATATATTTTCTCAAATTCATAATATCTCTAAAACCCTAATACATTATAACATACATTATACATAATAAATAAAAATAACTTAGAATATTTTCAACATACATTACAAAATATCAAACATGTCAATCAAGTAACTAATATTTTAAATTATCAAAATAAAATAATCTAAATAATCAATGAGCGAGCTCAAAATGGACACTATTTCGACGTGGAACGAAAATTGATGGTGTGTTGGTGAAAGTCACCATAGAAGGTATCCGAAACAACAATAAAAATCTTTAGTAGATAAAGTAGGGATGCATATGTAACGTTAACACTCAACACCTTAGTTAGTAAGGCCAAATACATCTAATTCGAAAAAATGAATAAAATTGTACCAAGTTATGGCACATGATTATGTTTTATATACAAGCAACAATTATAATCACCCTTGATGAACACAATGTAGAATACAGGAGGCCGTTTAATTAATTCTATGAATTGCCCTAAATGTAATGTCAGGTTGCAGTTCGTGACATCTTGGCGAGAGTTTACTTGTTTGTCATCTTTACACAAACAAAATTCTAAATTAAACTTTTGAAATGAATCGATTTTATTAATTCGTTTGATCCTTCTAAAGTCGATAGTAATGTTTCTTCTTATTATCCGTTTCATCTTCCTCTATTAAAATCGAGAAAATTTATCTGTATCGAATGAAAACAAATAAAATTAAATTTGAGACGGATTAAGAATTAAAATTTACTTTTATGGTTAAGGATTATTTATAGAAAAAGACAAAGAAATCCTTCAAAAAATTTAGGGAAAAAATTGTAAGAGACGCGTACCATTACTATCACCAATCTACCATAGCAGAGCCCAAGCCACCGAACGAGCTTCTGATTCGCACTACTGTCCATAACACCTTTCTTCTTCGTATAAAAATTCCATTCTCTTCTTCGAATCTCTTCTTCAATAATCATCAAATGGGTTGTACGGTGAGAGAAAAGCACATCAGAGCTAATCGGAGACCTCGATCGGTGAAACCAGATTCCGATTCCTCCGATAACAAAGACGCAATATCCAAATCCATAGCCGAGTCTGGTCTCAAACCCTTCAAATACGATATTTCTCGCGTCGATTCCTCTTCCTCCCACACTCTTATTCCTCTTCCATATCCAAACCCTAATTCCGATGAAACCGGTTGGGGTTACTGCACCGAGGAGCAATTGGAAGAGATCCTTTTGAAGAATTTGGAGTTTGTTTACAATGAAGCTGTTTCGAAGATTGTTGCGCTGGGTTACGATGAAGATGCTGCTTTGAAGGTTATTTTGCGGAATGGTCATTGTTATGGTGGAATGGATGTTTTGACTAACATTTTGCATAATTCGTTGTCGTATTTGAATACTAATAATGCTAGTGTTGCTGGTGGTGTTGGTTTTGGGGATGGGGTTAGTAGTAATAGGAATTCGAATTTGGATGAGGCTGAGCCTGTTTTCTCTGATTTGAGGCATTTGGAGGAGTACTCTTTGGCTGGTATGGTGTGTTTGTTGCAGCAGGTTAGGCCTAATTTGAGTAAAGGTGATGCTATGTGGTGTTTGCTTATGAGTGATCTCCATGTAGGGAAAGCTAGCACTATGGAGATTCCTGTGCCAGGGGGGTCGGTTCCTAGTCGGCCGCCTGCTGTTGTTGAGTCTGGTCAGTCTGGTCGTGGTTCTGTTGGTGTTAGGGCTTCTCCACTCTGTAAGTTTCATGGGGGGTGGGGGTTTGAGAATGGGGATTATCCGACGAATAGGATATTGAATTGCGGTCCGGACTTGCAAAGAGAGATTGAATTTCCGAAGAGGTTTGATCTTTCGCCTTCCATGAAGGATTTGTTGAAGAGAAATGTTACAATGTTTGCTGCTGGTTTTAGAGCAAACACTAAACTCCAGTTGCAGGCGAAGGCCAATCTTCCTGGTCGTAGTGCTATGTCTTGTTTGGATTCTCCTGTTGTATCTGGGGCTGATGTTGCGGTTGATCAGTGTGGACATTCTCGGTTTCCTGATAACCAAGATGCTGTGAACTCGGTGCTGAGTAAATTTCGTGACTTGAATCTTGATGAGAATTTGGAGTTTGCGGCAGAGGATCAGAAGGATGAGGTGATAGTGAGTATATTTCATCAGATAAAAGATTTGGAGAAACAGGCCAAAGAACGAAAAGAATGGGCTCATCTGAAAGCACTTCAAGCGGCAAAGAAGCTAAGCGGTGACATGACTGAACTCAAAACGTTACGGATGGAAAGAGAGGAGACCCAAAAATTGAAGAAAGGGAAACAGGCACTTGAGGATACAACCATGAAGAAACTCTCGGAGATGGAGAATGCTTTGAGAAAGGCTAGTGGTCAAGTGGACCGTGCAAATGGAGCTGTGAGAAGATTAGAGACTGAGAATGCAGAAATCAGAGCAGAGATGGAGGCTTCCAAATTAAGTGCATCAGAGTCAGTGACAGCTTGCTTAGAAGTTGCGAAAAAGGAGAAAAAATGCTTAAAGAAACTTCTAGCTTGGGAAAAACAGAAGGCTAAGCTACAGAAGGAAGTTTCCAATATGAAAGAGAAGATATCAAAGGCACAAGAAGTGCTGGGTCAGACTTCACAGCGCCAAAAAGAAGCTGAGGTTCTCTCTTCACCCCTTAATATTTTTATGTATATTGAGAATGTCACACACAAACCACCAAAAAGGAAATTAAAATATGGTTGTCTCTTTGTGTAGGATGAGTTTATTGATTGAAATTGCATTTTTCATGTCAGAATAAAAGTGAGATGTTTCAACCATAATGTGTGAGACTCATTTTTCACATTGAACTCCATGTCGTTGAACTTTAGCAGTAGTTTATGGCTTAGTGCATGTTAGGTTTAGCATTTGGAAGAGGTAAAAGCAATTCTAAAGGTGTAGAATTGATTTTGAAATGATTTTGAGGTGTTTGGTTCATCTAAAGTAGAATTGATTCTGCCTTCAGAATTGATTCTACTTGAAGCTATACTTTGTAGCTTTCGAGTTTAAACGTGATTTTTACATTTAAATTTGCTGTTTAACTCACTTTTACATAAATATAACCAAAGATAAATCACTTTACATCCAACTCACTTTTAACCAAAATCAATTCACTCATAATCAATTCTACTCACCACAAAACCAAACATACACTTAAAACAAGTGGGAGTTTGTGTCCAGGCCAAGCCAATTCCTAAACTGGGATCAGTCCCACAGTCTTACACAAAGAAAGTTACATGTGATATTTCAAAATCAGACATCAACACGGTCTACACATGTGTGGCACAATTTGCTATTGTGGCATTGAAATTGATCTTTTTATTATATAGGGATTCTCAGTAACTGAATGCATATCTAACTTAGAGATTTTAATATCTTATAGTTCAATATAGTAGCTTATGATTTTTAGTTGAAAAAGATTGCAATTTCTGTGTTATTTTCCTTCTTTTTCCTGCATTTCATGCATGTTTTTAATGTATGAATGAACTATATGTGCATAGCTCGGAAACATAAATATGAGCTATTATTTCATCCAGCACATAATTGAAGTTTGTGCTGAGACATGGATGGGTACACTGCCCAACACTTCAAATGCTATGGCACATTTCAGATTTTCTGCATCTGTATGTGTTTGCCCGTTTTTGTTTGTATGTATATATGCACACACCTGAATAGTTCTTGGAAGAATGTGGCGCGAAGCATCTGCTCAAAAAAATGATACAGTTGCAAAGCAGACAGCAGAAGTGCTATTACACCAAAGATAGCAGATGCAATATGAAAAACTTAACAATTTGTAATACACACATCATTGATACTAAAAACCTCAAGTACTCAAGATTGAAGACTTATTTATCATTAATACTCAAAATGAGGACCTCTACCATGCAGTTGAAACCTTATGGCCTATTCTTTTTTGTATGTAACGGGTAGAAGTTATAATTCTTCTCTTATTTTTATGTTATAACAATTTTGTTAAATAATGAATATGTTTCTATGACGGTTCTAGAGAGAGACGTTTTCCCTTCTCTCTAGGAAAATACCCCCAAACCTTTAGGGTCTGTTTGCGAGTTTGGAGGGAAAGGGAGGGTAGGGCTTTGAAAAAGGGAAGGATTGAGAGGAAAGAATTGAAGGATTTTGGTTGGGAGGGTTTTAGAGGGTTTGCTTTTATTCATAACACTAAAAACCCCCTAATTTGGGGGAACTTAAAATTTGTATTGAAGGAGGGTTTTGGAGGGCTTCCATAAATTTTTCAAATATTTTTTATATTGTTATAGTATTCTAAAAATTAAAAATATATTAATGATAAACACCCTTTTATCATTCTATACAAAAACAAAATCATTTTTTCAAAAAATGTCAAATATTTTCTTATATTTTTTTAAAAATTTGTTTTTGGAAGCCTTCCCCTCCCCTCCAAACTCGCAAATAAAGCCTTAGGGTTTGGTGGCTGCCTCCCTCCTACATGATGGCTCTCTTCTCCCACCTATATGGTGGTCCTCTCACCCTCTATTGAGAGCAGTACACCCTTCACTTAAGTACACCCTCATGCTCTTACCGGAACTAACTCAGTCAGTGGATAACCCCTCTCTCCACCACGAGTCACCGCCAAATCTCTCTTTCCACTGCTGCACCTGCCACCGGAGCCACCACCACCAAGAAATGGATAATTTGTCTAGGTTGTTCTTCACATCTCAAACTTAACAATAGTGCATGTACTTCTCTCCCTTCTAGCTTCTCCTACACCTTCAATGCCGGCAACCACTCATCCACCTCCAAAGCCTCCATGGATTTTCTACCGACTTCAGTTACTTCCTCTATTAGATTCGTCTATCTCTGTGTATGTGTTTTCAATTTTGTGCTTTTATCTTTTGGGGTCTAAGTTTGCACTCTTGATGTTTGGGAAAAAAGCCTCCAGAGTTTTGTATTTTTGAGCAATTAACTGTGTGTCTATTGGCATCGCGTAGTGATTGAAAAAGCTTACAAGTCCGGCACCCATTACAACACTATCTCTAATCATCAATTAACTTTTGGACATTCGAGAAAATTGGACAATCTTAGACCAAAGATAGTCGAAATGCGCAAACACAAGTCAAAGAAATCATCTTTAATTTGATTTGGAAAAATAATGGTTCTCATTTCCATATTGCCATTGTCCATGTTCATAAGAAAGTAGATAGGTAGACAATAGGTTGTTGCTTTTGGATTGTTTGTATCTTCTTAGCTTGTCAATAATCAATATGTTTTATCTTTTATTACTATGTAGCTTTTTCTTTAGAATTGCTTCTAGACTATGGATGTGGTATGTCTTATTTCAAGTGTTTCTTGATACTTGTAATTTTCTTTATCTATCGATGAAGTTGCGTTTACTGTTTAAAATTTTCGTGCTAAATAGCGATATAGCATAGTAGTTTCAAAATCTGCTACAAAACTGTGGTGAAATTGTTATTCTAGTTTTGCTTATAGGGAAATAGCGGCTGCTATTCCAGCTTCGGCCAGCAGATGTAGCAATAGCTGAAAAAAGAGAATTTGAGGATGTTTACGAATAATAAAACTGAATAGTCTGCATGTGTGCTACATATGACTTATTCTTAAAGTAGAAAAACTTTTCACCTTTATACTAAAACGTTTCAATACTTAAATTGGTCCCAATTATCAGGTATGTCATGCTGTCTATTCAAGGCTATTTATTTTTGGCAGCCATGTTAAAAAACTCGTTTAATTGGTTCCACAGTTGATGTTCCTAACTTAAAGTCGTATGTGACATTAGAAAAATGGTAATCAATGTCATAATGGCACTGATTAAGAAATCAAAATTATAGTTTTTCATATAACAATTCTTTAACCAACACTTCTGGGCACTGGTTAGCAAGACTCTTGATATTAACTCATCTGAATTTTCTTTCTGCTGACTGTATTTAATTTCTTTGATTTTGTTGCAAGGATTTGTTAGATCGACCAATACACACTATCTTACAAATAAATCTTTGGTGAAAACAGCAGTTTCATCACAAAAAAACCCGATCATGTGTTACTTCTAAACCATTTATTTTGTACAATATCTTATTACACAGGTTAAATGGAAGGAGGAGTTGAAGGCTCAAGAAGATGCCTTGGCACTAGTTGAGGAGGAGCGCCGAGCCAAGGAAACAGCTGAATCAAATAATAAGAGGGGATTTGAGGCTTTGCGTCTGAAGATAGATATAGATTTCCAGCGCCACAAGGATGATCTACGCAGACTTGAGCATGATCTTTCGCGCCTTAAAGCATCTGTTCATTCTGCTGTGTTGCACCAGCAGTCAAATACTTCACCTATAAGTGACTTTGAGGGTACAAAGCCTCAAAGAGAGTCAATTGCTAAGCTGCTTCTGGATTTGGATAACCTGGATGATTTATCTGAAAAAGAAGCTAATAACAACAGAGAATGCATTATATGTATGAAAGATGAGGTCTCTGTTGTTTTCTTGCCATGTGCTCACCAAGTCATGTGTGCTAAATGCAGCGATGAGTATGGAAAAAAGGGAAAGGCTTCTTGTCCTTGCTGCCGGGTTCAAATCCAACAGAGAATCCGCGTATTTGGGGCATGCTCTTAAGCTTATTTTTATATGCCCTATGGATCTACATAAATTTGCTTGGGACAATTTGTCTCTCTGTTCTCCATATTGTATGGGAGTTTTGTTCATAGGCATGAATTTTTGTTACTACATTTACATATATAAAATAAAAACAAGTCCCTGCAGTAACTTGTGACATGGATGGAATGTATCAAAGTTGCTTGTTTGTCGAAAATAAGAAATGGGCGACATGGTCATTTTATGTTGACAGGTGGTGGTGACCTTTACCATTCCATGGCAAGCTTAATTCTAAATCATATTCCTTCTGTTTATATGTAGCTTCGATTCATTTCTAATGCACCCTCTAGCCTGCGAGAGGTAATTTGGCCATGGTTTTAGAGAAGCATGGTAGAAATGCTTTTCTCAGTGTCCTGAAGTCATTTGGCCATAGACTAGTTTGAGTAACTATGGCTGAGGATTTTCAACATTACCATATATACCATACCAAAGTAAAAGATAAAAGTTTGTGTTTTTATCTTTTAGTCAAATTAGTTTTGTTGAATCTACTTCAACTATGAAAGTCAGAGTATCAGATAAGAAGAAAAGAACTGGCAATACCAACATATTTGTTCAATTTTTAATTTTTAAAACAGTATTCATAAATCGAATTACCAAATGAGTTATTTTTTATTTATTTTTCTCAAAAACAATTTTGCAAAATAGATTTATAAAACATATTTTAAAAACTAAAACTCAAAGTGATGCGCACAGACCTTTAGCATTTCTAGTGACAAAATTTTAGGGGTATTGGTGTAAAATTATCCATATTAAAATCTGTAAATATCTTTGATATGGATATGGAAGTTAATTTCCGAAAGCTTCTCATACACACTAGAACACTTCGTAGGTGAGTCACATTGTGGAAAAAAAATTCATTTTGTGAAAAAATAGAGACAATCTTGGGTCGTAAGTTAAGTTTCAGACTAACTCTTAGACACATTTTTAATTTATGATAGTTTATTTATTTTACAACTGAATGAATATTATGGAAGTTAAGTTCTACACTAATCTTAAAGATTTGTAAGTTTTTTTCTTGAGCATTAATTTTGTTATAAATTTAATATATTTTAATAAATTTTATATTTTAAATCATTTATATAAAGTACACATAATTGTTATTCAATTAAATCACACACTTATGTAATTCAATAAAAATATCAAATATTAAGTCAAAATCAAACCATACATTGTTATAAAATATAAATGATCAAAATATAAAGAAAAAAGTCAACTACTAAATATATATGATCACATGCCCTCATTTGTCTCCTGTACTGCAAGGCATGTAGTGCCTTGAGTATCATGGCCTCTATAATATCCTTCCAAGAGTTTCTTCCTGAAACTCTCATCTCTTTATGTCTGGCCACCCAATAGCCACAATACGTTGATAGATCAATAACACATTAACAACATGGTCCTCTCTAGCATGTCCCTCTTCTAATATCTTTTGATGAGCTGACTTAGGTGGTCCTCCCTCTGCATTAAGTGTTATGTAAGGACGTGATATTCTAAAAAATGTTGGATGCAACCGTATACAATACTCCATGATTGAGGAGCTGACACACTCCATATATCCTTTAAGACTAGATGATTATGATACTCCACAAATATCTCATCAACGTCTCTACGGAGAACTGTGGAAGGAGCAACAACAACGTGGGCTCTAAGAATACCCTGTAGATACTCGATCCGATGCATGACTCACTCAAGTAGGTGTAGATACATCAGTCGTGATCCATAATTCAACTATCAGGAGTAAAAGGATATCTCATCAAACGGGCGTGTTTCACAGTGATTATTGTATAATATAAATTTTATATCATCTGACACGGTGCGGTCAAGACAAACTCGGAACGACTTGGTTATATGATTCCCTGTGAGTGAGATGAAGGAGAAAGTATGTGGTAAAGCCTCGTTGTAGTCTTCCACATATGCCGAGTCAGAGAGACGTGGAAAGTGTTGGAGGATTCTGGTATGAAAAATGGTTCAAATGAAGTATTACTAAATATATATCATAAATGTTATGCAATATTAGTAACCATAACATTGAAAATATATTATTATGAATACGGTCTTCCTTGCTGTCATCTGTCTAGTCTTCCATAAACAAGCTTCGCCTAACTTAGAGAAGAGATAAACCAAACAAGAGGCCTCTGGATATACTTATGAATTCTCTCTAAGTCAATGAAGTATCTCAGGTACACAACATAGACACAATAAGCCTTTTCGTTCACAAATATAAACATGTCAACCAGATACATGATGTATGTCCTCAATGCACATACTCTATGATACACTAGAGTTACATGTCTCTAATGCACTAAGGGGAGAGTTTTATGTGGTTTTGTTGATTGTCTCTGATCGATAAAATAATAAGTGTACTATTTTTTCTAATGTAGTAATAGTAGGGAATTTCCCAAATATCGATCTCGAGGATTGCGATGAAATATTGAGTTCGTTCTTAGTTCAATTAAACAAAAACTATGGTTTTTGGAATCTTTGAATTTAATACAACTTTCGAAGAAAATACTAAAGTATGCAAATGAAATAAATAGGAATGAGTAGTATGCCAGGGTCAGTGTCTAATTCAATCATGCAAAAAATTTGATCATACCTTGCAACAACTAGTTTAAATAATTGACTATTAGTCATTATGAGTTATTATTCCTACGTCCTTAGAAAATAATTCTTTAATCCTTTAACCTAACTACTATGTCCATATGAAGTTATTGTTGAAATTAAGCTTTCAAATATCAAGATATTCTGATTATTGAAGGATATCCCTAGTCCTAGGTAATATCTACTTGAATATGTTACGCGTATGGGTAGTCTTGAAGATTTTTCTCTGTTTCTTTCATCTGCTCTACTACTTTGGTCAGTTCTGTGGTCCTTTGACTGCGTGAACCTGTATTCAACCAATACACTACCAAAAATCGTAAAAATAGCCAAAATAAATTGAAACTCTTAAAACAGTAACTGAATAAAATTGACTCAAACAATTACTAATTACGAACAAAGTGTTACAATTTTCCTGGATTTTTGACGACTAAGTAATAGAAGAATAACACAAATGGTGACTGATCACAACCCCAAACTTAGCTCGTTGCTTGTCCTCAAGCAATGCTCATGATATCAATAAACTCATGTCACCCCCAAAATAATGAAATTTCATGCTTACCACAATACCTCTGAGATCTTTCGTGCATCACTCTTACTTTCACCTTCAGATTCCTCTGTGTTCCACCTTTGAGTACTCTGCCGCACTTCCACATATTAGTATTGTTTCACCTATAAACTTATATCACACTCTCACCAAGTCTCTCGGGGTTAAAGTGTTTTTCACTCAACATTTCAAAGTATGCAATACCGACTCATGAGTTTGAACATATTCCCCCTTCATCTCAACATGCACAACACACACACAAACACACACACAGACTTTTTGAGGTCTTTTTAGGTTTTAATGGGGCTTTGGTTACGGTGGGATATCAAAAAGGAAAACATGGTTTTGGGTTCAGAGTGAGTGCTATCATTCTCTTACTGTGTCCATTCAAACTATCTTTATTTGATAAATATTTCCACTGGAGGGCTCCACTACTCAATCTTTGGAGTATCGAGTCTTTTCTTTCGGTGAGTGTCATCTTTGCTATCATTCTTTTATTTTGTTGTTTTGTGTTTTTTTTCTTCCTCTTTTTTTTTTGCACTCACCACCTTGATTTTTTTTATTCTATGTAGCCACCCCAAACTTAAAGGTTGCTATTCCAACGACAATCCCAAACTTAGAATCAAACACAGATCCAATCATAACAACAATCCCTCTGAACAGGGTATGGGAGTGTTTGGGCCAGGGGTTAACATGACAAGGTAACACACAAACAATGGGATACAGACCAAAAAGGGACGAGCAAAGGATACTAATGAAAAAAGGGATGGCTTAAAAGGCTTAGGGGTATATCAAACAACATGCCTCAGTGTGTGTAATCATGCAATGATGTAAATAAGAGAACTTACGCAAGCTCTGAGTGATAGAGACACACCTGATGTATCTCTCATGATGAAATTGTGTTTTTTTTTTGTTCTCACCATGTTGGGTAAAGATGACAAAATCCATGGTACTTTCTGTATGGTGCAACTTCCTTCTCAGTTCGGGATACATAGTGTTCATTTGGAAGCAGAGCTCAAACAAGTGGCGCCCAATCATTTTTCAGATGTATCAACATTTTTAGGGTAACAATCCAACAACATCACTTTTCAGGAAAAAGCAACAGTTTGTCGCTGAATTTTTTCATCCACCATGACTACCATTCATCACTTAATTATAGAATAAACCATAAACTGTAACACTTGAAATAAACTTCATTAATAATTCCAAAGCCCCAAAATGGTCGATAATTACATAAAGATAAATGAGAAAATAAAAAAATAACAACTACAAAGCACACACGTATCATATGCGTACCAACAGACGCGTTTTTCAGTGTTAAAAAAATAGATCACGTACGTTACGCGTAAGGCCAAGTTTTTCTGATGCGATAAGCGCATCATACGCGTATGACCAGAAACTTTTTTCAAAGGCCAGCAACTCAGATCTCGCATGTCATGCGTATGTGTGTCTATATGCGTATCATACACGGATGTGCTTTCTTACGTGTTAGACCTCTGTTTGGTACGCATTTAATACACATTCAAGTAGAAAGAGTCACTTTTGACACACCCATACGCGTATGACATGACCCATACACGTATGGGAAGAACATGCATTTTTTAAATTGATTTTTCTAATTTTTTCTCATGTTCTTGGCCTTTCTTCTTTCTTGAATAGACTGTAACTCAACACGACTCAATTTGAAATACTAAAACAAAATTACAAATGAAAATATTGTTACCTCCCAAGAAGTGCTTCGTTTAACTTCACATGGCTCGACGGTTCATTCCTTTTATTATAGAGGGGACTTCTTCTTCCACACCTTGTTGCTTGT